TTCTCACTCCACATTACGCGACTTTGCAAGGTTACAAATTTTTTTTGATTCTCACAGTTTCTCCCCCAAATTTTATGTCAGAATCACTAGATTGTAGCCAACTGTAATGTCTGTTGGCATTATTGTGAAGATTTGGCCCAGGATTTTTACAAGACAGCCTGCAACAGGGGTCAGGGTAGCAGCACTGAACTGGCTTCCAATATGGCAGCCATGCTCCACCATGCTCCTTGTTCACAGGAAGCCTTCTAGTTCTACAATTTCTTAAATTTTCCTCACATATGTAATGCTGTTGAAGTCAGAAGATGTACTCAGCTCACGGCTAACTCATCATACTGCTAGAAAGAATTCAATTTTTGTGTGTGTACAATTTGCATGTGATAATTTACCTGTTGCAAGGTGTGTCTGCTGGGGAGTTAGCCGTGGCGACTATTGATTCGGGCTTACATTGCATTACCCTCAGCAATAGTCGTGGAAAGATCCATTGGCAGAACTGCACATTTCCCGTTGGCTGCTCGATGCTCCGTTTTTGACCCGGTTTTTTGCTGTCCCGAGCTTCCCTACAATATAACTCCACAATTGGCCGGGTTGCCGATGTTTAGATCAGCCTAAATATCCACAGCGCGACAGAAAAGTAGTAAAATAGCTAGTCGGCACAAGCTGGCGCCGTCTTGGATATAGTCGGGAATGTCCGCTACCGCCGTCGGGAACGCTCGGTAGCCTTTCCGGTTATAATCGGAGAGCTTTCGGTCGGGCTTCGGTAATCGTGACGCTACCGAGCGTTCCCGACGGCGGTAGCGGACATTCCCGACTATATCCAAGATGGCGCCAGCTTGTGCCGACTAGCTATTTTACTACTTTTCTGTCGCGCTGTGGAATATTTAGGCTGATCTAAACATCGGCAACCCGGCCAATTGTGGAGTTATATTGTAGGGAAGCTCGGGACAGCAAAAAACCGGGTCAAAAACGGAGCATCGAGCAGCCAACGGGAAATGTGCAGTTCTGCCAATGGATCTTTCCACGACTATTGCTGAGGGTAATGCAATGTAAGCCCGAATCAATAGTCGCCACGGCTATGCACCCTGTTGAAGTTTTGAACAAAATTAAATCATTGCCCCGATACGCCTCCGCCATTCTTCAATTTCTTGCACGTAGTTTTCGCATTGGCACCTGCGGCATGAATGCCAGTCGTAGGCTAATGTTGATAGCCCAGCTTGCAGCTGCGGGTGCCATGTGAAAATGTCTCCCACTTCGAATTCGTACTTTACTGTCCAGTACTCAGTAATCAACGTCTGCGTCTTTCAAGGGTGGTAGGTCACCATTTTGATATTAATTCTCTCTCCGAACATATTTTATGTTATGGGTCTTCTTGTCAAGGTGTTCGCTTAAGATTAACTGTGAAATTATGAGTCTAACTCAAGATTCAAAACTCTAAATGTCAACATTTCGGACCCTTCTAGCTGATTTATAAGATTTAGTCTATAAATCTGAGTCCTACCTGAACCGACAAGGGGGTGGGGGGTTAGGACCTGCGCTTTTAGTTATATCTAATTTGCCCCCAAGCTGTGTGCCTTTAGATTGTTTACATCTATTTGTTACATCCATGCAGTATTATATATTTGTTAATTATTTTTCGTGTTTGATTGCGGCGCGTATATAAGTTTTGTTAACTTGAGTGCGTCGCCATCGCATATTTCTTTTCTTATGCTTTAATAATGAATTAAACTAAATGCAAAGTAGGTCATTATTGACATACTTAGGATATGTTAGTGATCCACCTGCCATATGCATAGGTTACATACGTAACAAAGCCCTTTCATGAGAAACACTGGAATTATTCAATTCCTCATTAATTATGCAAATTACGTCATCGTTTGCATAAGTTGTACCTAATAGTGTACATCTCTATGAAAATTAATGAATATGATCACATATCAGTAATCTAGTAGACCTTTACCAAAGACAAGCATATACATTTTTAATGTACTTATGCCATGCCTGACTCCGTATCTACTAGCGTACTTAGGCCAATATGTATGCAGTGGTTTACAAAGAGAGAATGTATTGTAACAGTCGGTTAAGCCGGTCCTTCTTGTCTTTCTTTCAATCTTTTTTGAAAGATTTTACTAAGAACGCCCTTGCTATTCTAAAACAAGCTGCAAGGGGGACCAAACCGATACCACTTTTGCTTGACTTAATACGATACACACACGATACAGAAAAGATACAAAACTGTTCTGCTGCAGTACCAAGGACAGTAGCTAGAAAGCGCATTACTGACCTTGACCACAGTCGTGCCAAGACCTACCCACATACCAAATATCATTACAATCCCGCCAGGCCTTCTTCAGTTATACATGTACGGAAACGCGCGCGCGCGCGCGCGCCAAAGACACAATACCTCCATTTTTCATGGAGGTAATAACTTCCGAGCGTGGAGAAGTACAGTCTAGCGGCGGACGAGGGTATTGCACTGACTGGAAAACTACCGCTGAAGTTCTCAACATCTTATTTGATTGCTCTCGTTACAAGCACGTAAAGTGAGCAGAAGTTATAGCTTTAGTGGTAATGAGCATTGTTAAAGGCCAAATTTTATTTATTCATTTTTTATTCAAGATTTACCACATGTGTGCAAGAATTGACATAACAGGTGACTATGTCACCTTTAGATCTAGATGTCAAACCTGAGACCAGACTAAGGTTTGAACCACTCACGCCGGGAAGGACCCCTGCTCTTTTCGATAGGTGTGGTGGGATCTTTAACGTGCTTAAGGTGTGGCCCTCCCGAATTCGAACACGGGACCTCCGGCTTTACGTCATATCCGAGAGGACGTCCCCAACCAAAGCTAGGTACTCATTTTCACCTGAGTCAAGTGAGGAAATAGGTGTAAAATTGCCTTTCCCACGGACACAACAATGGGGCCTGCCAGGGATTCGAACCCAGAACCGTCGAATTCTGAGTCAACAGCTCTAACCACAAGACCACCAAGTTGTCACCTATTACAATTTTCAACATCACTGATTTTTATGAGCTTAACGAAAAAGACCAGAGAGTAATGAAACGACTTTGTTCTCTAGTATCGGACTTTTTATTAAAAAATAATGAATAATTCTCAACATAAACATCGTTGCTTATGTGTGACTGTAGATTTCTAATACAATGTTGTACAACATACATGTTTTTTATCCATCTTTAATGTTTTCATCATGTTCACCAGAAATGTGCTGAATGCGGTCTATTCTGGACGACTATACATAAATATATATGGATAATTTTTATAAATCTCTGTAGGCTGCCACCAAAAAATTTAAGACTAGTATGTCCGGGACAAAAGCTACAAAAACCGGAAGTTCTCCTCTGTAGTATAAAGGACAGCCCCAAGGAGGTCCATAATCGTTGACCTTGGCCTTAGTCTTTTCAAGACTTACTCACATACCAAAACTTAACACAATGCATCCAGGACTTCTTATTTTTGCTGACCGCAAATCTGTTGAAACAGAGAGAGAGAGAGAGCAACATAGACCGAGACACACACACAGAAAGACAAATACACACACAGACCAAAAACAGATTTTCATGGAGGTAACTATCTAACTATCTATACGACTTCCCGCCACCCATACCGTGCATACCCCAGCCTGTATCCAGTGGTCTGTACCTGTAAGAGCCGGAGGGAGGACTGAGGGGTGACGGTCTGTATGATCGATCATTAGTAATAGTGTCAATAGTGCACCTGACTCGGTACGCTAATAGTACCACACCAGAACAAAAGTTCCAAAACAGTTCCCCGGCATTTATCTCGACTTGGCATCTTGTAATTGAGGAAGACGGATGATTAATTTAAGTTTGTAAGGCTATACTAAATTACCCCCTCCCTCTGGAAATAACCTGTGCAGTGCTTGTGTATGTAAATTTGGATGAGTGGTGGCCCAGGACGTGTGGGTGTCTCGCTGGGGTTGTGCAATAGTGGCGTGAGGTCAAATGCGGGTCA